TATTTCTTTTGCCTGTCCCCAAACACTTCACCTTTTCTTTTCCTGTAACCAACAACTGCACGGTAATTTGCCTAAGGCCCTAGATGCTCTTTCACARTACACATAATAAAACAAATACAAGCAATACTCTTAGGACTCAAATGAAATATTGTGTAGAGGTGCCACTGTGCAAATACAAATTGCTCAAAGCTTCACAAAAAAATATGGAAATTGGCAGCCCTTTGTGRGTCGCAGGTATCTGCCATCCTTCTGGGGCTACAAGGGGAGAAAAAAATAGCTTCTGCCAACTTGAATCTGTAAATTTGCTATATGAAGTGGGATCCTGGGGGAGATGGAGAGCTCGCTCCTATGGGCTCCTTTTTACGCACACAAAGAGTCCTGTTGAGTTCAATAAAATTCCCTGCACGAGTCATGTTACTCACGCGCGAGTATTTGCAGGATCAGGGCTTTCCATCGCAGCTACTGCAAAGAATTTGAAATTAATCCAATCAGCAGTTAGCTAGAAAAGGAACAAAGCGCTAGAACAAACATTTTTGGTTCYTGTGTTCGGTGGAGGGACTCACGTGCTTGGAATTACCCACCTTCCTAACAGCTTGGAGCCCTGGGCGCCTCCTGCCATGTCCCCAGCGTTGGGCGCAGGGTGCTCTCCAACCTCAACGATCCACGTGCTGATTCCCTCCCTTCCAGAAGGGACACACGTCCCCACGGATACTTTCCTTTTTTTCCCCCCTGCTGTGTTTTYCAATAAAATTCTCCCAATTTCGCAGCCAGTGGGGAAGAAAGACCATTTCACAGCACTCAGAAGGCTTGTAGATGTTTTGACCAGACATCAGGTTTCCTATTGATAGTATTAACTCCTTTGGAATGAAATGTTTGGGGTTTTCCATCTGTAGGCTGTCTGAGATGTCAGCAGCCAATATGACCCGTTCTTTCCCTTTTAGGCCCATAAATAAAAGGCAGCTTGTTTAACTGATCTCGCAGCAGAGAGCAGAGGTGTATATTAATGAGCTTTCTCTAATGGCACACTGGACCTATTTAGCACTACAACTGTGAAGGCTTCTCTTTCTCAGTCATAACTCATTTCCTAAGCAAATGTCAGTTATTGCTTCACCTTAYGGTCTGAGCTGTTTAGTTTACAGTTTATTTCTTCTGATCTGTACCACTGACAGATATTCTAGACATGGCTGTGATTAAATGAGCTTATGGAAATGGTAAAAATTTGATAATATAGACCCTCTTGGGAATGTGCTGCTATTTCTGCGTGGCAGCATTCTCAGGTGCATTCAGAGTATAAAGAGGAAGCAAAGAGWAACATTTTAAGCAATTACAGTTATTAGATTAAATTGTTTTGTTAAGAAAATTATGTGTTTAGATCACTGAGAGATAACTTTTTTTTCATAAATATGCCTTTTACATGCAGGATATTCTTGCAGCCACACTCCGGTGAGACTGTGGYTTGAAATAAAGATAATATACGTATTTCCATATGGTAGTGAAGTAATTTAGCCCCATAAAGTTCTAAAGCACATTTTTCCCCATAGAAGCTTTATTATAAAAGCAGCATTAGTTATAAAACCAAATAATTACATCATGCTATTTACTGTAATCCTGTGACATTGTTTTGTGTCTGTGCTCAGATGTGTGCAAGATAGCAGTGTTGGAAGCACCCGTTACTTATCTCGCGAAAAAAGACAAAAGTACTGCTGGCAGTATGAGTATTGTTTTTGATAAACTTGCTTAAACTGTTAACTATGTGGTGAGTTTTGCAGAATTTGAGGATTATGCAGCATTTGTTACAGTTATCCCAGCAAAATATCTAAGGTTGTAGGATCAAGCAATGACAGATTGAGGCCAGATGCCTGGGAGACACCGAAAGAAGCTGCCTTTGTTGATCAAATAGCTATTTCCATCCTTAAGCCCTTTGGAAATGGAGCATTCGTTCTTTGTTGTTGAAGCTGAGACACTACTTGGGTTGATGGCTCTTCCTAGCGGTCATTTGAAGGGAGAAAAAGCACCACATTTCTCCGGAGGTGGTTGTATTTGACGGATGTATCACCAGGAGCAGGGGTGGTGGGCAGGTTAATATCAACATTAATCCATAGTGGATCAGTAGTCCAAGAGTTACCTTGATTATCTCATCCTAGAGCAATATCCACAGGGGAAGTTACCTTGCCCTTGTGCAGCTGCGAAGGGAAGACACTAGACTACCATTTTGAGGAAGAAGGTCCTAGTGGCACCTTCTCCAGCTGGGCTGTTGCAGGGAGAACCTGCAAAGGATGTGGTCAGCAGCTCCAGAAAAAAAAAACAGTAGAGATTTTCCTGTAGTCCTCCAAAGTGGAGACTTCTGTGCAGCTCTGGCTGTAGCTCGCAGGCCTACCCTTATCCTGGTGCTCCAACTCCTTACGCTTTCCTCTCAGGCTCTTCAGCTTCATACATCTTCTCTCCTCCCTTTGCAGCCATGTTCTTGCTCCTACTCCTTTTCCAGTCGTTTTCTTCCTGTTAAGCCATAGTTAATCCTCCCTTTAGCAATTCAGCATCCTCAAAAATATGAGAGTTGCAGCCGTGTCCTTCCTTTTGCTGGTGTATTCTCCCCCCTTACGTGTTTAGACTGAATTTGTCGCAGGTTTGGGACCATCCCACTATATTATCCACTGTAGTGGAACTCTGGTCTTGGCTTATGTTTAGGCCCTGCTATAGAAAACATAATAAATAACAAAAGCCTTTAGAGTCCAGACATGTGGTGAAGAAGGCTTGCTGCTAATGCTGTTAAGCTTTTGGATGATGCATTAACACCAAGAAGAAGACTCTTGACCACAATAAAAGTATAATAAAGCCATATTTGTTTGACTGTTGCTTCTTACATTGTAGCTCTGAGCATTTATGGTAGAGTCTGTTTCTTCTTTCCTTAAATGCTGATGCAGCAGAAGTCTTAGACATGTGTTTTCATGTGTTTAAGCCTGTCTTTAGATTTTTAAGACATTTACCATTGGAATAATGATGGGGAACCTTGTTTTATAATATCCTTCTGGGTTAGATCTTTTAATGGCCATGTGTCACTGCTGCTGGGGCACACAAAAATGGAAGAGCATCAGYGGTGGAAGAGAAAAGCTTGATCTTGTTGCTCACATGGGATTCAGATGGAGCCTGCAGAGCTGAGCTCTGCACACTCAGGGTCTGTTTACATTAACTGTCTGGTCCCGTGTCAGCTTTGGAAGAGCTGACTCTTGAGCTGAAAATATAAGGGTAATGGTTCGAAGGGGAAAGATACAAATACAAGGTTGCAGCCAGAGGAGACTGAAGAAAGGTAGGAATAGGAAAGGTTGGAACAGGAATAGGAACAAGTGTAAAACAATCAATATTTAGAACCTCAGAACCTTTGCTGTGTTTGCCAGATTCTGGCTTTATAGAATGTGTGATGAGAGCTATGGGTTTCCTAAACACTGCTTTATTTGTTACGGATATTGGCATATCTGCACATCTCAGACTGCTTCATTCTGAGAGCTCTCCGAATTTTTAGTGATGATTACAGAGAAATTTTTTTCCTTTTTAAACTTTGGTGACTTGGCTACTTTTGAAGCTCCCCTACCTCCTTTAACAGCTCACATGTTTTGAAGGAAGTCCAGACTAAACAAACTTCTGAAGTCACAGGTTGCATATGTCCACAGATGACTCTGCAGAGCTTTCATGACTGTTGCAATGGAGAAAGATGGAAATCTTGCTATATATCAGGTAGATATCCATGCATGTAGACCTAAATATACCCTACAGACAAATTAAGTAGTTGCTCAGGGCAGCAAAACCATTAGGGCCATAAAAGCCTTGGTCAGGCACCAGACGACCAGTTGCCTTCAGTTTGCAGCATCTTATGAGATACATCTGATCTCCTTTCCCAGTCCTCTGGATGCCACAGCTAAGTCAGGAACTTGGCACTCACCTATGTGTATAAGAGAAGTGTGTAATGTGACGAGCTGGCAAGATTTTAATTTCTGTGATGTCAACCAGAAAACCAGAGGTCTCATCAAATGCATGCTTCCACATCCCAAAGCATGGAGGAGCCAGGTTCTCATCTGCTTCCACATCCCAAAGCATGGAGGAGCCAGGTTCTCATCTCTACAGAGGCACTGGAAAATCCACAATGCCATGAAACTGCAATGGAGAGTGGGCAAAGTCGATGCAAGTCGCAGCTTTCCTTTTGGTGCACGTCTGCTCATGTGCATGCCTGTGTTTGTGCTTCCCCGGGGTAGTTCCCCAAGCCTCTCCTGGAGACAGTACTGCCTCTGTGGTCAGCTATTGTCTGTAACACTGGAACTTGGATTAGTAGCAGCAACTTTTCATTATTTATTTATTCTAATTTAATTTGAAACAGCTACTTATGAGTGTTTTACAGCATTGTAGTCGTGAAGTTTCTTAATGAAACAAATGCTTAAGTTGCTCRGGCTACTGGTTCTATAAATGTTGAGAGCAGACCTGGCAGATCTGGCTAGTGAAGAAGAGGATGCAGAACAGCAGCAGGTTCCCTTGGATTGATCTTGGGATGGATCCGGTCTTCTTGTAATAGTCCGTATTCATCTGCTGCACCATATAGTGTTTCAGCCATCTGAAACCAGGCTCTTCCCTGCCACAAATAGCCTCTCGTGGTGTCTCCCGCAGCTCCTTGTTACAGCCCACAGCGGTTCTTGCACCAATTAAAACRTAAGAGGACTCATCATAACACTTGTTTTTTCTTGAAATTCACTTTACTGACACCATGCCCGTAAATGCTCGGTACTTCAGACAGAACGTGTGAGATATTTATAGCCCATGTATTATCGAGCTTCACACCAGTGACAGATTAAATGAACAGCACAAAATGTTGCGTTTCGTCCATAAATTTCAACAGATGTCTAAATGTTGGCTGATTTATTACATGTCCAACTTGGATCTTACACTGTTCTCATTGTGGCTGCACATGGTTTATTTAGTAGTGCTTTGCAATGATTTTTTTATGGCTTTTTTTTCAGTTTGAAGGGTGCAACAAGGCATTTTCTAGGCTTGAGAACCTTAAGATTCACCTCCGGAGTCACACTGGGGAGAAGCCATACCTGTGTCAGCATCCTGGCTGCCAGAAAGCTTTCAGCAACTCCAGCGACCGGGCAAAGCACCAGCGAACACACCTGGATACTGTAAGCATGATTTCATACTGGGAGTTGCACTGAGCTTTTGCAATGGTCCTTGTGCATGATCGGTGCTCACGCTGGAGTAGGACTTTGCCTTTTTCATGAGGAGGTCTCAGAATGCAGCTGTAAGCAACCACACTTTATTTTCAGTTGTGTGTGCTTTGAGAAATGAAAAAAAAAAAAAAGGCTTAAAAAGCCCATTCCACTATCTTACTCATGCTGAGGAATAACTTAGTCGGGAGTTAGTTGCTCACAAAGTCTCCCGTCGTAACCAGGCCAGTGAGAGGAGGTACCTGCAGAATGAGGTATAGCGTGAGTGAAAGCAGAGTCATCGTTGCTGTACTAAATATGTCATCGTCCTGCTTCCTACCATGTGTTGCTTCGGTAGGGTCTGATCTGAATGAAAAACAGTTCAGACATCTCAGTGGAAGGTAAATGCCTCGCAGTTCTGCATGCAGTTTTGTAAAGGTAAAAATACATCTGTGTTATAACTATGTAATTCATGAAGTACCCACCATCAAAAATAACTGTAAAAAATGAATCAAATTCATTTCTTATATAGTTGGCGGATCCTGGCTTAACTCTGTAAGTCTTTTTACTTGACACTCRGAGAAGATGGGAGCCTCTCAAGTGTGTTAGGCTGTGATCAAATTAAATCACCATGTTAAGRGGAAAGAAAGTAAGTAGACAACTGTGTAGACCTGTTAAGTCCTCAGCATAAAGCTTGTAAAGAATAACTGCCAGAGCTGTTCCTTTGTCTTTTTCAAAGAAGTGAATATATATGGCTTAATGTTTGGCCAAGYGTTTATGGGGCAGAACTTTTGAGTTTAATTGATATTTACTTTTTAAGCAGTTACACATTTCAGACAGTGCAGCATTAAGGAATGTCTGATGTACATTATGCCTTGCAAAAACAAACAAGTAAGAGAAGCGAGTCAGTCACATTTTCCAAACCAAAGCACACTTACAATAACAATGTTTTATTTATTTGAAATTCAACCTGAGATATTTGAATTTGTAATTAGTTCTAAAATGCGTCTCTTTTGAAACTGAATATACTAAATTATGTGCACAGTTTTGAAATTTAACTGCTTGAATCTAATAGATACTTTTATGAGCCAGATTCACAGATGGAATGCCATTTATTAGACTTTTTGAAAGATAATTCAAATTGTTTAACAAAGTAAGCAAAAATCTTTTATCTGTTGATCTGTGCATTATTGAAAACAAATCTCTTAACTTTCTGTTCTCTTTTCTTCTTCTTTTCTCTCTCTCTTTAATATCTGAAATGCTCATAAATCAGCAAAAAGGTACAGTAATCATTTTCTACTAACTTTCTAAAATGTCTAAAAATATCACCCATGATATTTTATTGCAGGTTCTTTAAAACTATTTCTGTAGCACCACACCATAGTAACTGGCATCCACTTACCCGTTTAATTATAGACCCATGGTCTTGCTCAGTGTATTTTTTGCTTTAAAATATGAATGCAAAAAAATAACAAGGAACTACAGGATGGTGTCATAGCAGACACTGCATATTGCACTAGCTCGGTGAACATGATAACTCTCTGCAATGTCAAAGCAAACAGCCATGAACCTTTCCAAGGGGAGGTGGATTTTCCTCTGGTTTCCCTATAATTAGGGCTACCGATGACGAGAAAAGTGACCTGCCAGTTTGTCTGCTATGGGGTTTCTTTATGGTTTCCATGGTCTTTCCTCAGGTGTCAGGTCTCTGTGTGTTCCAGACACTCTCCATAAATCTGCCTTGCCCTGTAGCTTGCGGGGTAGCTGCTGCGCTGGCCGGCAAGGCCCTGAATTGGTGAATGATTCTATTATTCCTTAGAAATTTCCTGCTGGCTGGACAGAGAGCAATACGTATCCTCTGGAGGTGCTTACATAGGATAGGGGGTTATATGCACTGCTTGGTTCTTATCGAGTGCATTTGGAATTGGTTTTAAGGATGCTTTTTGTATGTCAGTCCACCATTTATCTTCTCCAAAAGCAGAATCTGTAAATAATTTCAGAGACCTACGGTGTTTGCTAGTTTGATCAGATCTCTACTAAATCATCTGGAAATAGGCCTTTCTCCTAGGTGAAAGCAGAGCAAGCGGAAGGTATCTGTCCTTGCAGTATAAAGGGCACATCATCACTCCTCGGGGGTAGAGCTGCCAGTGCAAAGGGCCTCACAGTCACTTCTCCCAACACTGGTGATTTTTTTTTCTCTTTCTGACACCAAAGGGGTTAAAAAAAGGTGACACTGAAGTCTTGACAAACAAATTTTGTAGCTACATGAAGGCACCAAAGAGACTGGTCCATGTGAGAGGGCCAGGATGACACTGGCAGATTAGAGGTAAGAGAAAAAGAGACCTTTAAGCTTTAAGACTTAGTGAGATTTGACGTGCAGGTCTGTGTTGTTATCATTTGAGTCAATGGTTATTCAGTAATTCTCATGGACACCAAAAGCATCTGGACAGGTCTCCCCAAGAAGACCAACAATACTGCATTTTTTTTCCTTGTATTGATTTTCTTGGATGTTAGTGTTTGATGCAGTTTATTTGGTTAGGAGTTGCAAAAAAAAGGGCATTGTTCTTCTTATTTAAAACAGGAACAAGATACGAAGGAGACCAAATATGTTCAGTGCTTCAAGTTTAGCTTTGCTGCATATGGAACAGAGTTCTTGTAAAACAAGTGGTAAATCAGAATTAGAAACCAAACATTTTTTAATTGTGTTTATACTGAGTGATCTCAGAATCATTTTGTATTACTGTAAATGCCAGAAAAACACTTACTGCTTTCAAAACCCATCTAATTGCATTTCATTTGCATTTAATTCATCCCAGTAATCAGTGCCCCCAGAGCACAAAGGTGCCAGTTGCTCTCAGTGCTTGTATGGAGGGTAAGGTCGGAGCTGTCGGTGCTGTTTGAGTTTGCAGCGTGTCTGCCTCGTGTGCACACAGAGGGRTTTGCTAGCCTGGAAGCAGCCGGCAGGGCAACGAGCTCAGGCTTAGCACCACATCCCACAGAAATGACCGTCCTGCCGCTGGCTCCGCGCAGCCTCCGGGTATGGAGGAGATGCAGATGAAGGCGAAATCTTTTCCCTGTCCTCCCCCTTGCAGAAACCGTATGCCTGTCAGATTCCCGGCTGCTCCAAGCGCTACACGGACCCCAGCTCGCTGCGCAAACACGTCAAAGCCCATTCAGCCAAGGAACAGCAGGTGCGTAAGAAGGTAAGCGCCACGAGGCCGAGGGACATGGGGCCACATCTCCTCAATGTGCTCATTTTAAATTTACCATTAGTTTATATGTTTTGAAATCATTTTCTTTGAGATGCTGCTAAAAGCAGCAAAAAAAACCCTCAAGTTGAGTTAATTTTCCTGTTGGGTTTTAGTGCCATTTGTTACCCAGCTCCCTTTATATTTTTCTGCTTTTAATGCTGCAGCGGTGTAATTTCACTAGGCCTCAAGCTTTTACGCCAAGCATTTCTTTCTTGTTCATCTTTAAACACAAGCCCACATACTGCTGTCATTCACACATCCGTACATGTAGCATCTCTGTTCACGTAGTAAATACATGGTAGCAGACCATTTAAAACAGAAACAAAACSAAGAATAGTATGGAAATTTTAATTTTTAATAGGTAAAAATGAAAATCTCCCACTTCTCTCCGGGTTACTATAGTTGTATTTAAAATGCATTTCTAAATCTTTCCAAACAGACTGTTAATTATGTGTCACTAATACTAGATCCAAAGAAGTATTTTGAAAAGGCTTGTTGGGGCTCAAACTTGAACTCTTTATTAAATGGGGATGCTCAAAGGCACCAGCCCAGGATCAGAATCTTTTTTATTGCTCATTCTGACCCACAGTGTGTAAAAACATAGCAGAGACCTCACAAAACCGGTCTGTGTCAGGTCAGACCATGTACATACAGGAGGTCCAGGATGGAAAGGGAATCCTAGCTATAGCAGCACTGTTCAATAAGCAGCACTGGTGTCTTCCCACAGCCACCTTGGCCCTGCCGAGGGCATCACAGATGAGACAGCAGTGTTGAGAGGATGGAGGACAGAGCAGAAAGGACAGCATGGCAAGATAGAGCTAGGGAGCAGCTAGTTGGGAAAGATGTCCAAGGTAAGCGCTAGGAGCCCTGCAGAGCAACGAGAGAACACATGGGGAGAGGAGGTAATRGCAGAACAAAGATGGTCTTAGCTGCAGAATTTGAGATGGGCCATGGAGGAATGAGATGAATGTCAAAAAGGCCTGAATTTCCTGCCTGAGTAGATCTGTGATGAGTTCATAGTGATTCATACTGAGCTCAGCCAGGCCCTCTGTCTTGTACTGCTCCCCTCTTGCTGCTTATCAGCACGAGTTGTATCCCCTGTCCTTCTCRGCTTGGTTGGATTCATCACTTTGAATTTCTGGTTTCCTTTGCAGGACAGGTTGTCCATCTCCCAGTCTGCCTATAACTTTCCTCTGTACTAGCTTCAGGCTGGGTAACTATTTCTAGAACTTCAGTGACCAAAGTTRTGCACACTGTTGAGGATGGAGTGAAGAAACACTCACTGCATGCTTGTATTTATACCTGCCCATGCCTAGCACAAAGCACTTCCCAAGAGCTCAGAGCTGAGGTTTAACTGAGAGTGACACTAAAAGCCAGGAAGAGGTTGACACTATTGCCAGTGACTTTTACGGTATCTTTGTGACAAGCAGGATTTCATTACATGAAATTCTCAGCTGATCCTGGAGAGCAACCCTGCTCCATTCCACAGGAGAGAACCCCTATCCTGCGGTTGCTGATATATCTCTTGGGGGAAGGAAGGAGGGATTTACTTCTTAACACCAAACATGGATCTCAGTACATTAACATGTTGTCATCCTTTGGGTCTGGACAAAGAAACAGCTGAGATCTCCAGCTCCAAATTCCAGGTTTCCATAAGAAGATGGGGGAAAAAAAAATTCAACCTGGCAAAAGGCAAAAAGTAATTCCTGGATAACCAGCGGGAGGCCTGAATCATTGAATCAATACAGGGTGAATGCAGTACATACAAGTCACAAGCTTGAGCTGCTTGGAAATACTAAGACATCAAATATCCAGGCTTCGTATCTCTTAATCTCATAGGTTTAGGAATTCTCCTACGAACATATACAAACCCTCGCAYAGACTTATCAAATCCATCTTAAAATAATGTTGTTTTTTTGCCTCCCACACTTATTTGGTAGACCATTCTAAATYTGCACTCCTTCCAGTGGTTAAAAATCATCAGATTTCTTGTCTCATTTATGCATGATAAGTTGGTGAATATTTCATCCCGTGTCTTTTTTACTTTAACTTCAGGACGCTGAAAAGAGCAGGAAATTTAAAGTGCATTTTGATCAGGCAACGTTAAAAGCCACCAAAACGAATCTGATTCATAAAGAAATAATAAACAAAACAAATATTTCACTTAAACATATTACAGGAAAAGAAAAACCCTTTCACAACTAAGTAAAACTCAGTGTTATTGAAACAGCAACAGTCTACTTTGACTTTCAGATTTAGGAAAAAAGGGGATAGACTGTTTACATTTGCTTGGTCATTTTTGGTTATGACTCTGGGCAGGAGCCGTCTGTTGGTATCAGCTTCCCTGGAGTTCTGAGTGGAAGTGGCTTAGCTGAGAATGAAAAATTAGCAGGCTGCTCTGCCTGCATGGCTCGGCTGAGACATGCTACCAAAATGTGCCAWTTTTGATATAAAATAAAATGCTCTGAGCTGAGACTTGCATCGAAAGAGTCCTGAATAGTTCATACCTTAGAAAAAGGCTGCAGTGGTAATGTTTGCTTGTTCCCAAAGGCTTTTCAAAAACAAAATATGAGAAAGTTAGCTGTTAATTTAGTAGTAGTTTAAGTTTAATTGACTGCAGATGCACTTYGAGATCCAAAATGTTAGATGTTTAYCTTGAACAAACAAAGACTGTATAGCAGAATTCTAAATAGGTTTGCAYGGACCTTTTATTTAGAATAACCAAACCCAGGGGAGATTGGTATGCAATACTGTAAACTTTAAGACAATAACTATTTATTAATAGCAATAGAATATGATAGCTGTTTGTGTAATGTGAGCTCTGTATTATGACAAAAGCTTGGCAACATCAGCATGTTTGAAAGAGAATTAGAAATGCTTTTCTTTCTTAATTCTCCTCTCCTGCTGTTTTTAATATGATCGACATTGTGGTTTTCAAGAGTTTGCTTCAGACACTTTGCCAGCACTTTAATTTACATGGGGAACAGCTGACATATCAGTGATACCTCTTACACGTTACTGACAGCACATTATTCCACCAGTTCTAATCTGATAAGCACAAACGCTTTTCTTTCCCTATCGAATGTCTTTCCAAGTGTCACAGTTACAACGTGATGCAATCCTTTTGCCGCAGAACCCAAGAAACTACTGAAAGCCTAAAAATGTGCAGATAAATTGCTCAGTACGATTTGAAGAAACACAGAGTACGTTATTTTCTGAAGCAAACTGTTGTTGATATAAGATTAGCACACTTAACTCGTGTGCTTAAGAAAACCAAAATTATCTCTAATTAGAAATACCAAGTAATAGATATATCCTTAATTACACTAGGTTCCTAAGAATGACATTTTGTTCCTTCCTTCTATGCATAATCTTTAGGCAAACAAGCCACATGAATTTAATTAAAGGTCATTTGGTTTACTTTGAAATAAAATGTTTGTTTTATCCTCCTCTTATAGCTAAATTCATGTACTGATATCGAACAAGATGTACTAAGTGAATGCTTAGCTATACAACAGCTCCACACATCTTCACAGCACATTTTGGATGGGAAATGTGGCAGATCTGTAGGTCATCATGATTTAATTACAGGTAAGAATATTTCTAATAAGTATGGTGCTATATGTGTCATCTAATACATTTGTCTGAATATTTTGTCTGAAGAGAAAAAGCTACTTTTGAACTTGGTCTTTATTAGAAAACTCTCAGTGATATTAAAATCCCAAATCACCCTTAAAATGATTTAGCTTAAAGCCAAGTTAATCTGTCTTGATTTGAGTTGCACTTGATCCAATTTCAGTTCCACTAAGGAAGAGGTTTGCCTTGCTACTGCTAAATATGTTCTTAAATTGATTTAGTAACTCAGCAYAAGCTTTCCAGACAAACCCTAGCTTGTTGCTGCCAAGGCTTAGAGAAAACCCACGGTGAACTGGGATTAGAAAACAAGACTGGGCCCAGTTTCCCTACATCAAGAAGGGCTGGTGCCCTGTTATTGATGTATTTTACTTGTGGCCTGGGAGGCACCTACAGGGCCTGTGCTCTGGGCTGAGGCCGTGCTCCATGGCCAAAGCCCGGCCTCCTGCTTCCACACAGGGCTGGGAAGAGCCGGGACGTTTCCCTCGCAACAGGCTCCAGTTACTAACCTGGGAATGGCCRCAGATTTCAAGTGGTGACAGTAAAACAAGAAAAAAGTTACTAGCTCATGGAGTCTTCTCGGTGTCCATTCAGAGAACCTTTTATGGAGGCACAGATCATATCTATSAATAACACCAGCTTGTCACCAGGATGATTTCTCTGCTGGTTGTATCAATCCTCACCGGGGTATTGTAAAAAATCTAGTAAATTTTCCCCAAAACTTCCATGGGGTCACCCCATATGAGACCCCATGACATGCACAGCATGCGAAGGAGCCAGGGGAAATAAATCAAGATTTGAGAGACTGTTTTACAGTGAAGCAGGAGTTGTTTCACATTACACACAGTACAGTTCCATGGGCAAAGCTGTGTCTCTGCTATTGCTTAAAAAAAAGTGCTGATCCCTAGATGGTTAAAGCATAAGGACATTCCTGCTGCCATCTATAGTTCGCAGTGAGCTTGTTTGTACTTTCAGATAAGCAAGGGTAGTATTTCTGGGCAAATTATCTGTAACACTCTCTGTATAGACTACCATGTGGATAAATACAGTATATTATGCCTTTTTGATTCCACTCAAAAGTATGAAAATGTTCGTGGTTTGGATCTTTTTTGTTGTTGTTTTTGTTTTGTTTTCAAAGAAACCACATTATTAATGTGCAGAGCTCTGGGCTTTAGAGATCACTTGGATTCTTGGAGAGTTTCAGTTTTGTCTTTCTCCAAGTTAAAACACATTTTAAACACGTCAGGGATAAAAGCCAATCATACGAAAATGAAATATTTAGAAAAATTCCTATCCCTTGTGCCCAGCTTCAAAGCAGGTTTATGCTTAGGCCTGAGCAAGACAACAAGCAAAAGGAATGTCTTGCAGTCAGAGAGGAGGAACCCATTGGAGGCTGCTTAGATCTTCCTCCTTTCTCTCTGCTCTAGCTAATAACTGAACTGCTTCATGACTGCACACACCACACTGCAGTTGTGCCCGAGGCCTCGCATCACTCTCTCTGCAGTGGAGGTGACCCCATTTAGGTAGCTCCACCACACAGGCATTTCTCTGTTTCGTTATTTTCTGGTCTCTCTTGGCATAAAGCTGAAAAAAGAGAGAAAGAGAGAGAGGGGAGAGAGAGAGAGAGAGAGAGAGAGAGAGAGAGAGAGAGAGAGAAACGAGAGAAAGAGAAACGAGAGAAAGAAAGAGAGAGAGAAAGGGAAGGGAAGGAAAGGGGAAAAGCCCTTGCTAGGTACAAATACTCAGAGCACTGTTTTGGCAACATATGTTTAGGTTAAAGGCCAAGCCATTTAAAATCCTGATTGATGACCTGTATTTACAAGCCAAGATGGTCAATRTGTGAAGAGGCCCTAGGTGCACAGGCCTGAGCWGGGCRGCWCTTGCAGGAGTCRTTTATAACAACTCCAGAGGCTTCTGTGGTACCTGAGGTACCAAAGGTAGTATAGTTCACTGCTGGAAAAAGGGACAAGAAACTGGAAAATAAGAGAAATTGTACTGAAAAAAAAATGAAATCTTGGTCCATTCTGGGAGGTGAGGTTTATGGGATAGCAATGAGAGCAGGGCTGCGCTGTAGTCGTGTATTGTCATGGCCCTTGTTTGCACCATGTAAAAGAAAAAAACCTACTTCTCACTTTAAATTAGTACTAGTTAGGTTTTCGGTGATGCGGCAGAAATGACTGATGTCTCACTGCAGACTCACGTGGCATCTCCTGGTCCATCCCACCCACCCCATGTGCCACACGGCCCTGGCCGCGCTCCTACTCGTGGGCAGCGGGATCGGCGCAACGTCGGCCGCGTTTCACGCAGTGGGATGGGGGTGAGGGGGACGTGGGGACAGGAGGCACCACCAAGCTGCAGTGGAGGTGTTGTGGTAAAGAGAGATGTAGGAAAATTCACCGGTATGCACTGACAAACCTTGAGCACACGAGTACTCTGGAATGCATGGATGCTTGGGTGCATTTTTCTGCATTTTCTAACTTCTCTCCCATGCAGATTGTGATTTTTATCCTCACTGTCTTTTAACAAATTAGTTAAAAGCAACAAACTGAACGGGAGCTGAGATATTCTGCTGCCGCAACCAGTGAGAGAGGTGTCTGTCTTCTGCATCCACCACAAGCAAGGAATCAAAACTATGCTCAGCACCCGTTACAGTAAGGGAGTCCCCAGGATGGTCTCTTAAACTTCCGTGAAGTCTCTTGGGGTGGGATTGTAAGATAAAATATTTGAGTGTATTTACCAGCCACTGCACTGCTCCAACTATATCTTTAARGTGCTTTGAGCTTCTGGAGTGAGGTATCAGCAAGGGCCAGTAATAGTCTGATACACCCGGAAAACAAAACATTTTTCTTTAGATACAGTGTTTTGCTGCAGGCTGTGTTGGCAAAGCAAAGCTGTGTGTGGTGGGAGATGCAGGGAAGTGTGAAGTGATCCTGTGCAGTCAGGGTCCAACTGGCGTTTGACTCATCTTCCAAGCCTGCCAGTGAATGCGTGAATAGCAAGGATTTGGGGGAAGTGGAAAGGACYGCATTATAAAACGGGCCGAAACACCAGTAGAAATAATGACATTCTSAGAAAGTGCCTCCAGCTACTAACTTAGCATTATCACAAGAGGCTTTGACAAGTAAATCCTAGTGTCRCCTGGGCACATCTGACTTCTTAAAGCCCCTTCCTTCTGGCATTCAGAGCAGAAAGCAAGTTGGTTTTGCTGGCTGGTTGACAAATGTTCTGTGTGGCAGGAGACAAGGATGATGCGGATCCTTTCTGTTCCTTTATATCTGTCAACAGCTGAGGAGTCACTGTTCAAGAGAGGGGTTTGACTCATCTGAAGCCCCTACAAAGGTGGCTGGACTCTTGCCTTAGTGGTTCAGCTTTTCGGGCAAATGGAAACAGATGCTGACGTTGAGCAGTGGCTCATCCTCCCAGAGGGCTGCCAGGCCTTCCCTGTGGCTCCAACAGCTCCTGTGACATCCTGCTGTCGTAAGTCGCTGAGGGAGCTTGGGAAGACCGTCATCCCGAGCCCTGGCAGTGACGTTAGATGAGGCAAAGCAAGGCTGGCTCTCAGCTCCCTGTTTGCCTAAACGTGTAGCTCTGCACTCTTGGAATGCAAAGGCAAATGCCACAGGAGGAGGTGATGGCTCAGCGGGCAGATGAACTTGGATGCTCCAGCTGGGCTCTCTTGGAGGTGACAGGCTTCATTTACCCCTCACCTCTGCATGTTTGATGTCAGTGGTGCCCTGCTCCTCCGTAGCGTACAGATGCCCTGGGAGGAACCTGCTGCTTCCTAACTCTGGGAGGTGAATTGCAGGCAAGCTTGCTGGAAGAGGAGGAGGTAGGTACAGAAGATGAGAAAAGAAGGACTATTCTACGAACTGCACTTTGTACGAGTTAGACTTACTTTTTATAAGAAAAAAAAAGAGTAATTCCAGCATCTTAATCCAGCAGTCCTGGATTTGTATCGCTTCTTCAACAGAATAGGTACATAGCGATGTGACGGACGTTGCTAGTGTCTGGCAGGCATCACCTATGTAAAAATATGGAAAAGTCTAACCCCTTTCCATGGGCTTCTTTAGGGACATCACAAGAAGAGGATGAAGTTCTTCCTCGGCACTATGATTCCCCTGCCAAAAGTGCTGCTAGCAGGGGGCTGGGCAGGGAAGGAGTCGGGCTGTCGGGGATTGACTGCTCCTTACTCTGCTCGCTTTGGTTTGCCAAATGGTGCTTGTTTGTTCCCAGGCATGTACAGCGGTCCCAGCGCTAACCATAACGGTCCCTCCCCGGGCGTTCTGCCGCCGCCTCATGACGTCCCTTCACGACACCATCCGCTTGATTCCGCCCTTGCCAGTCCGCATCACCACCAGTCACCGCTGGAGAGTGCCAGGGAAGGGTATGTGTGCGGAACACAATGATGAAGGATTCATTGTTTGTTTTGCTTTGGGTGGATGCTGTATGATTAAAAATCACCCAAACTAAGCGATTTTGCTTATTTTAGAGTCATGGAGTAATTTAGGCTGGAAAGAACCTCGGAAGGTCACCTCACCCAGTCACTACTCAAAGCAGGACAAACTTAGACAACTTAGACATGATGTCAGTTTGCTTACAGCCTTGTCTTAGGGGAAAAAAAAAAAAAAAGACTTTTTTTCCTCATACAGTGGAATTGCATTGGGGTTTTATCACTTCTTTTTGAATTTTTTCGTGATGACTTGTCCTAAGTTTGAGTATGTGGAGAGAACTTCTCTCAGCTAAAATGAGAAATCCATGAAGAACTCAGAAATCAGACKCTGACTCACTGAAAAATAAGGTGGAGTTTGCTTTAGTCAGAGTGGTTAGTGAGTAAGACAGTTTGTGTCTTTCACTTTCTTGATTTATTAGCATTTTCTGTAATACACATTTGCATCAAGCATTAACCACTAAGCATCTGATCAATGAAGAGTATATTATGAATTGTATAGATTGCATTAAAAAAGGTATATAATATCTGATAATTTACATTGCACCATTTGTTCAAGAGTGAACTGTTCACTCACTGGTCAAAACATCTTCTGAACARTGAAGAATCTCTGCAAAATTCTGCTCAGATCATTCTGTTTAGAAGACTTTACAGTGCTTACACTCATGCAAATTAAACATCAGGTTTGTATTAAATGTTTTACCTTCCCAGCACCGTGGACAGGGAGGGAACTGTGATTTTACTTTACTGAGGTGAACCTGAGGGGWTAGAGAAAGATGAAGAGATATTTTTTCCTGAAATAATGTTGGAAACCTCTAGCAAAGCCAGGAACCGAATGTAAACTTCTTCCATCCTAGTCCGGTGACTGCCCTATCCCTTCTTAAACAGAAAGAACAGTGCAGAAAGGTAGTGTATATTTGTACTCTTTACGCAAGTGACAGAAGTGGGGTGTTCGTGGCATGGAAAGGGGCCTATAGGGAAAATTATTCTGGAAGTAATTGACAGGACAGGAACAGACCTGCCCTGTCCCTAAATGATACTGAAAAGGTCCCATAAGGTATCAATGACCCTTGCTCCTGCCTGCCCGGCCCAGCAGTTTCCTGGCCTTGTGTTTCCTATTGGCAGACTCCTGCCCTGCCGAGGGGATTTGAGTGCAAACAGGAGGAGGGCAGTCCCGAGAGCAGGGAACCACCGGCTGTTTTCCCTGCAGAGCAGGAGGTGAGACGGGAGCCTCCCTCCCACCGCATCCTCAGGGCTCTGCTGATGCCCAGAGCAGCTTCACAGGGGCCTTGCAGTGAGAAATCCCAACCAAGCAAGGAGTAATCGAGCCCCAGGTATGCTATAGGGAGGATGTCACAGGCTGCCAGGAGAGGCGGATTTGTTTCCAAAAATAGTTCCCCTTTTGGGACTATTAATAAAAAAGGAAAATAAAGACTTTACCAGGAGGGCAGCAGGCAGCTTGCCCTTGGAGGCTCTCAGGCTCCCACGCTGACTCTCRCCGCTGCTCCTCGTGCCTCTGGCCAGAGCGCGGCACTTCCCTTTCAGCAGAAACGCTGGCCTGCACGAACCAGCTTTCGTGGTGAGCTCCTCCTGCAGACGGGCTGACCATTCGCCTGGGTTTTACATCCCAGTGGCCCCTGCTGTTTTCGCTTTCAGCAGAACAGCTCTTCTGTCTCGGAGAAGACAACTATGCTAAATAATTATCTCAGTGCTTATATACGTAGCTAATGCAAAGCTGTTGCAGAAACACCCCAGTTGATTTTTCTATGACAAAAATCTAAGGCTTGGATGATAACAGGATTCTAACCATGACCCAAACATCGGGAAACTGAGAGTAGAATGTATTTTTGAAAGGTTATTTTAAAACAGGATATCTAGTTTCATGACATAATGACTTGGAATTTTTCGGCATCTCAAATATCATTTTCTAAACTCAAAATAACCCGCATTYAGCATTACCCTACCTAGTCCAAGATTTTTTTTTCTGCATTTTAATTGTTCATGGTTACATTAGTCCCGTTGAAATAAAGTCCATAACTGACATTTTAATTGCAAATACAGAAAGTTTAGTGTGAAGTAATAGTCTTCGAATTTCACTTAGCAGAGTTTTGTGGATAGCATTCATGCACTTAACAGGGCAAAATCACTTAATAACCTCATGCTTGGAACCACTGTGTTACAGAACCRTTACACCTTTGCCAGTTCGTGCCATTACTCACATGAAGTATATACGGTTTACAATAGGAAAAAAAAACCACCTAACACTACCTTTCTTCATATTAACTGCTCTAGCTTTCTGGCTCCCACACAATGTTTTGCCTCATTTGTCAGCTGTCGCAGCATTCGTGTTTAAATAAATGCAAAGAATTTCTATCCTGTGAATCAGTATGATGACAAGACTGGATTGCATAGTTTAAGTCTACGGAATGAAGCAAATGATTACTATCAAGAAATCTAATTACTGAGTCATCAAATACGCGAGATGCCAAAAACTACATGAGGCAGAGTACAAATAGTCTACTCAAGTTTGACAGCAGATTCAGAATTTGATTTAAAAGCTTTTTTTTTTAATAAAAAAATGTGTTATACCTTCTTTTGCCAAAGTCAATACCAAGTGCAGCAGTCAGTTTTCCCAAAGGGTTTGCTAAGACATTTAAATAGTTTGACAAAATTATCTAATTCACTTGAAAATGTTCTAACAAAATCTGACTTCATTACCAAATGTATTTACACTGGCTTTATACAATATAGAGAGTATTTTTTCKACTTTAGGATGGAGTGCAGGATAGACTAAATAATTTTAACTATTAATAATATTAACTTATATTGATATTAATTAACCTAAAAGTGTGTGACAGAGAAAAATTTTGGCATTCAGAGATTGGCTTGTAATGATCCAGTTTAAATATATATTTTTTTTATTTCGGGTAGTRAAGTGTTATTTTAGCATTTCTGGTAGCATTTGCTGTGCATAATGTCTAAGTCAGTTTTATTTTGCTCAGTGCAAAAAAAATGGCTTTTGAATTGTAGCAATATGAATATTGAAACACAAATTTTAGTATCAAATTCTAGATGCATCTAGATTTATCTGCTCTCCTTTTATAAGAAGGTATTTTCTAAATCATTTTTAAAAACGTTCCTTTATTAACCATCAGTGTAGATCCACTTATCCTCATTTAACATATKTAGCATGATAAATTATCATCTTAAATGAAACTGATAGGACCAAAGTTAAATGAGTTTGAGTGGTGGCACCAAACTAGGGATTTGCACCAATTTAGCTTAATGACTTAACAAGGTCACTTTGTAGGATGTGAACACAGTCCTTCTCTATGTGACTGTGAGGCCCTCAGTCGCATGGGTCGTCTGTAACACACAGCACTTATGATCTCCAAAAAAAAAGGCTGGGGTTCCTGACAAATGCTAACTTTACCTGGAAGATGATGTGTCTCCAAGGAGGAGGAAAGGAAAACTACATTTAATGTTTCCGCGGTAAGTTAGGTCATTTCTGCTGTGTAAACACATTGGTAAATAATGAACTAGTGAGATTAAGGCATTAATGGTGTTTGTAGGTGATGACTGATTAGAACCCTGCATCCAGTCGTGTAATTATGGTGAGTCTTTAATGTAAAGGATTAAAAAAGCAAGGTGAGAGGAAAAAGCTCACACAGGCTCTTTCCTTGCTCAGGCTTCTCACCAGCTAACTGCAAAGTGTTCAAAGCGTTTTCCAACCCTCATGGAGAGCCACTTACCCATGTACAATCACAAGCAACAGGACTTCAAAACAATCAAATGAAGAGACATTTTAATGAGGCTGCTCAGACTCAGGATTTTTGTTTGCTTGCTTGTTAGCWCCTGTTAATTCAAATACCACAGAAATACTTCACTGTGAAGAGATCTCTGTTTAATTCCTCACACAGAGCTTCCCTTCAAGCTTAACCAGTACCAGATTTGAAACTACTGATATTTTTAAAGTAGACACCAATATGCAGGATAAAAGCCAGTGTGCTCGTTCTTATTCTTAGAGCCCTTCTGCATGAGATAGACTAGACTCATCTTGTAGCTTTTGTGAGTTTCACTGTTGTTTGCAAGGGGCKAGGCTTCTGGAGCATGGCTATTTCATGGGATAAGATTTAAGAAATGGGCCTAAAACCAGTGATAGGCATAAATTTTTGTACCAGTTCTCATTACTCTCATCCTGAGTATTTTGTTCATCTCGAAGATCTTGACGTTTGTGAGTAAATTGATAGGAACTGGCCTACTGCTAGAATATTTGTAGGAAACAGAATTTTACTCTCTGGACGCACTTGGGAGAAATCAATACCTCCAGAGTTTTTATAACAGTTCTTGGGACCAGGAAGATACATCATTCATTCACTGTGGCTTCCACAGGAGAGGGCTCTTCATTTATAATAGAATACACAAGTCAGTGTTTTTAGTCTTTCTTTCAAAAGCTCTAAACCCAATAACAAGAAACAGATATCTCTGACAGCTGAAAACACTTTCAATGGAGGAAGCCAAGAACCCATCRTAATTTATCTCGGTGTTATGGATCCGAGCACGCAAAAGGGGCATCAGTACATCTGTCCAGAGAAAGAACAATGTACAGGTGTGGAGCTGAGGCTCATGTAACAAAGAAAATCCGTAATTAAAAACAGCTGGTTCCAAATCCCAAGTCATTCATCTCATTGTAGAAAATGTGATCAGAATTCATTTATAATCAYGTCCAGATAGGCCTATACATTTTTTTTCCTCTTAAAAGAAAATAAGCATTAGCATGGGCTTATTTCAACAATGCACAGTTAATAATTTAATYGTTTAATGGGTAGAATTTTGCTTACTTGACCATTGGCAGAAAGAGGTGGACATGCATTTCACTTATGCCTCTGAAAGGGCTAGACTGACATTCCTGCGAGCAGCAGCTTGAGCAGCACAGC